CATTCACACTATGAAACGATGATGATGATGTATGTTCAGGGCTGCATTACAACATTGATTGTTCGGATCACTGGTATCTAAGTCTTCCGCTGTGCAATCTTATACTTTGTATTGAAAGGTCGGTTTTTGTTCTGGTCTGCACCTATACGGTATGCAACAGAGAGATACTTGATTCTGCCACTGGTCACGAGAGTCGGAGATCCGCTGTTGGTAGAGAGATCACTGATCAAACGGTTCTCGCCTGCACTGAATACCCACTATAGACCAGATCAAGGCAAGAAAGGTAGAAGAAGGAAAGGGAAGAGGGAGAGAGGGAAAAGGGCGCAGTCGGCTCGATTTGGGAAGATTATCAAGTTCAATGAGAATGCTTCTATCATTGACTTATTGCAGAACTTGAGTGGGTTGCCAGCACCAATACGCGTATCTTCATCAGGGGGAGAGATATGGATGGACAGATGGAGAGTAGTGAAAAGTAAGGTTGGTGAGAGCATCATTAGTGTCAAAGGACGACAGAGGTTTCTCAAGGAGTGTAAGAAGGAACTAGAGATCGGAGGGGTTTTTTACATAATCAGGATCAAGGTTACCTCATCAGGGATTGAACATCGCAAGTTCGTTTTGCGGGACTTGCTGAGGCAACCATGGAGGATCAGGATGTTATACAAGAAAAGGTAAAGGGAGCTGTTAGCCTTATACCAGACTGCAGCTACGTTCGGGAGGAAGATTTCCAGGTATCAGTTGAAAACCAAGATTACCAAGGTGATTCGATGAGTGTATGGTACAGAAATCCGGAGGAGACCGATCGTAAAGATTCCCTACTCGACTAGTCTGAAAGCTGTTATGATCAGGGAGCTAGCTGCAGAGGTTGTTGGGAGCTGCATTCGGGATCCACACCTACGGGCGTACGTGGCGCACAGGACGAGGGTTGTGTATAAGAAGCACGTAACCGTTGGGCACATCATGCATAACCATCGGATGTGCGCCGGGGCGTGTGAGGTGGTATGCACATGTGTGGATAGTAGATGGGCAAGAATGCAAGGTCACATAAAGATGAGGTTGGAAGATGTACCTGAGGCACCGGATTTTTTGAAGA